AGAGGATAGCTGCTACTGAAGCTTTCCAGAGAATTTTCCCCGACTTCCTAAAGCTATCCTCAAAGGACAATAATAACAGAGCCTGGACGGAATGTGGAAGAACCCACGAGAGTCCGAATAGCTGAGTTGTTTGGCTCCAAATAGAATAAGCGAAGTAGCAATGTAATAGCAGATGTGTTACTGTTTCCTCTTCAGAAAGGCACATAATACATCTGTTAGGGAATTGGAATGCTCTTTTCTGGAGATTGTCTAAGGTTAGCGGGTTCCCTTGGAATGCTAACCATTGGAAGAGTTTAGTTCTTGGTGGGGCTATAGAGTTCCAAGCTCTATTGGATTGGCTAGCAGAGGCTGTCGCCTCTACCAAGACTCTATAGAAGGAGGCCATAGAGAACCTTCTAGAACTTGACGGGGACCAAATGATGGAATCCGTCCTTGATAGTGGTAGGAAAAGTCCGTTCAATTCAAAACTCAAGGTTGCAAATTGAAGGAGTTCTTCCTCATTCAAGGACCTTCTAAAAGATGGGCCTCACGTCCTATTGTTGCCGGATAAGGTCATTTCAACTTCTATCATTGAGTCGTTGTGGCTGGAGATAGCAAATAGTAGGGGGGAATCTTTCTTTAAGTGGTGCAAAGCCAATCCACAAATCCTCCCAGATTCTCACTCTATTCCCCCCTCTTGCATGAAAGCGGGTATTAGCTCTGAACTAAGGGAGGATAGAAATCAAGGTCATCCAGATGCCTGATCTTGTGGAATAGGAATCAGTCTTTGGCAGCCACTTTTGAGAGGAGATTTTGTATTTGCTTCTTATCACTTGTGTCCAAAGTTGATTCTCATTATTTGCTAGCCTCCACCACCATTTCCTCAAAAGGGCCCAATTCTGTTTTCTAATGTCTCTTATCCCCAGACCTCCCTTCTTCTTGTCTGAGCAAATCTGTTTCTGAGAAACTAGATGGATTTTCTTTGTTTCTGCTGAACTCGACCAAAGGAAGTTCCTCTTTAACTGTTCTATCCTTTTAGCTACTGATGCCGGAATTTGAAAGAGCAACATGAAGTAAATCGGGGTATTGGCCAGAGATGCTTTGAGAAGGGTGCACTTGCCAGCCATAGACAGGTATCGCCCTTTCCATCTTGCCAACGTTCTATCTATTTTATCGATGACCTGGGCCCACATCTGTTTTTTTGGTTTTCTAAGGCCAAGTGGTAGCCTTAGGTAGAAGGTTGGGAATTCCTCCACTGGACACTCCCAATCCGTTATCAGATTCCTGATTGATGAAGAGTTAAGGCCAACTCTATCATTTTGGATTTTGTCATGTTGACCTTAAATCCGGTCGCCAACTCAAAACAGGCGAGGAAGATATATAGGTTCTGAATTTCAGCCTTATTTGCATCAAGGAATACTAGGGTGTCGTCCACATATTTTATGTGTGTTACACTAGGCCCCGTTCTATTGGTTTTGAACCGAGATAGAAACCCAGCTTGGTACAACCTCGATATTGATTGGCTGAAGACCTCTCCCACTATAGTGAAGAGAAAGGGCGATAGGGGGTCGCCTTGTCTCAGTCCCCTAGAAGAGGGGAAGAAACCTTTAGGAGATCCATTAATTAAGACTGAGAAGAAAGTGCTAGAATAGCATCCTTTCATCCACTTTATCCATCTTTTGCCAAATCCCATTCTGCACAGGGTTTGTTCTAGAATTGACCAATCAACAAGGTCGTACGCCTTCTCCCAATCAATTTTGAAAATTATCAAAATTGATCTGGTTTTTTCTGTCTAATTCGAGAGTGAATACACTCATGAGCAACCAGCACGCTGTTCAAAATCTGTCTGTTTTCAATAAAGGCAGATTGGGATTGGGATATGATCAAGTCGAGGACATTTTTGAGTCTGGAAGCAAGGACTTTGGAGAGAATCTTGTATGAGGAATTTAGGAGACTGATAGGCCGGAAGTCTTTGATTTCCTGTGCTCCTTCTACCTTTGGCACCATTACAATGAAGGTAGCATTCAGGGCTCTATTAAGTTTTCCCCGGTTGTAGAATTCCTCCAGAAACAAATTGAAGTCCTCCTTGAGGGTGGATCAAAATGTTTTGAAGAAAGCCATGGGGAAGCCTTCTGGACTAGGCGCCTTATCAGAGGCCAAGTCGTTCACTGCCTTCTCGATTTCTTCCTCTGAGAAAGGTCGTTCTAGCCAATTTGCTTTATGGATTGGAAGGCTTTTGAAGCTCAGATCCCCCATATTCGGTCTAGGTGTGTTTTGAACTGAGTAAAGGTTCCTGAAGTAAAGAATGATGGCCTCTTCGGCATCTGGAGCAGAGTCAAGCAACGATTCTCCAACTTTAATATTCTGGATCAGATTCATACGGCTTTGGCAATTTGCAATTCTATGAAAGAATTTGGTATTTAGGTCCCCTGATTTAAGCCAAGTAACTCTAGACCTTTGGTACCAATAAATCTCTTCCTTTTTGAGTGTTGAAAGATACTCCACTTTGGTTAATTGTCTAAGTTCTGCCTCTGCAGGCGAGAGGGGTCTGGATTCTTCTTTCTTATCAAGGTCCTCTAAGATATCCTTACAATGCTAAAAGCAAAACTCCGTAATATGAGATTCCTTAGATGCATCAATTGACTTCATGATCATAGTCCCAATTGGATAATTCACCAAAAAGTTTGTAATACTCTCCTGCTCCTATTAAGCCCTAAATCTGTCCATTATTGTAAATCCATACATCCTTGTGGGGCTTTCAAGTTCTTGTTTGTGAGCTCCACCTCTTTCTTTATCAAGGGCTCATTGAGCTCATAAGGTGTAGGAACCTTTAAACAGCCTAAACTATGCCACTGCTTCCAACATAACTTGGTAGCTATTGAAGCTATCGACATTTAAAATCGGGCTATATATTGACATACTTGACCCCTATCTTCCTTCTTGAAGTGGTTCTATATTATAGCCATTGTTTTAAAATGCAGCTGTATCGCCGCATTTGCGGTCGCATAATGCACTATGCCCTGAAGCGCATCACGTAGGGGCGCATATGCGCTTTGATGGGATGCGCCCACATATGCGGCCGCATAGTGCATAGTGCATATGCGCCTCATAGCTCGTGGGTTGTCATTTTCCCCCCTGAAAAGAGGGGGAAAGGATTTTGGGGGGAACTAAGCCCCCCCAAACACAATAAACAATGGCTGTTTTTGGATCAAACGAAGAGGGGAAAAATTGTTGATTTGCTCTAGGTGTTGGTTGGGTTGTCAATTGGGATTAGCTTGGGCATTGTTTTGAAGAAGTTTGATAATATGAATTCTGCTATAAAGTCAGTTTCTATGATCTTATCCTAATTTCTTCTATCAGGGGATTCAGAGCCTTTGACAATCAATAATATTGGAGTTAACCAATAAATTAGATACCTACAATCACATAAATCACCTCCACGTTCTTTCCATGCATTAACCTATTTTTTGAGATTCTTTGAATTTTTTTATATTTGTTGACCGCATCGGGGTGATGCACCCGCAACTGGACTGCATCAAGCCGCATCGCTGCATCGGAACCGCATTCTGCATTTTAAAACACTGATTGTAGCCTGTTTCTTATCTCTAACTGCACCCTCAGGATCAGGGGAAAGTAAGAATCTAGAGGCCCTTTTGCTCGAGTCTTCTCCTACCCGAGCCCTCTATGCCTATTATTTTTAGAGCCCACCTCAGACTCACCTTCATCAATAGAGAAATATCCATCATTTTCTTTATTCAATTTATGCTGACATTATAAATAATCTTACAAAATTTGCATTTCACCTTATTCCTATTGTTTATATTATGCAAAGATGCATAGTTCATTTCCTGGATCAACTTGTTTATTTGAATTGGAAGATGACATTGGTCAATGGTACCTCTACTCAACAAAAGGATTAAAGTAACAAACACCCAAACCTGAAAAATTCACAAAACCATTTAGAACCATTCTTGAGTATGTATGCTTTAATTCTAGGATGCAACAAATCAAACTTCAATCTTCAATAAAGCATCCCATTTTGGAAAATTTCGTCAAGCTACCCAAACCTATACTAGAAAATATTTAGTAATTTACTAAAACAAAGCTAGGAAAAAAAAGCAAAACTTCTAGATATAGAAAAAAGCCACTAAACCCAAACTGAATATTGAGAAAAATCATCAACAAATAATTACAAAGAGACAATAAGCTATAAAAAATAACATGGTGTAAATGCAGTCTTGATAAAATGTCAATAAACACAGACTCAAACCCAACCTTGAAATACATTTTGCCCCCAACACCATAACCACCAAGCCCGGGCTCCTTCAAGCTAAATAGCATCTTTATATCATGTTATGTGACATGCCATTGCTGATGGAATAAACTTAGTGTAGCGAGTTATTTTGGTCTTTAATTTAAAGCACTGAATTCAATTGGATTCCACATATGCTCAGATTGCAATTTAGGACCTTGATGGCCGGACAAAAGAACAAATCTTTCTTCCGTAGTAGGACTTTGCCAATAGGAGCAAGATAAAAGCAAATATTCACGCCATCATGTTTGATATGATCATCAGCTCTTTTGTTCCAAGGGGATTTATATGCTATTTTTCCACGCTCTTTAGGATTTCACTGGAAAACTTTGGGACTTATAATTAATCATTTGTTGTGCAGCTGTGCCCTTTGTGATCAAAGAATTAAGTCATTCTTTTTTTGGTTGTGAATTATGAAAGAGAAAAGCATTACACCTATTGAGAGAGAAATTAAGTCATTTTGACTATGGAGTTTCGTTATCTGTGGTAGTTTATAGTGTTTGTTTATTTATTTATTCTTGAGGGCCCATAGAAATCTTTGCTTACTCTTTTTCAGTTTGGTATTTCTTCTACATGTACTATGTGTTACTTGTACGAGGAGGAATCTGTAAATTAGTGCAGTAACTGGTGCAACAAATAGTTTGAGAAAATCTTTTGTTGGAACATTTCATTCGTATGACTGAATAATAGCTTTTGTTTATATGGGCAGTCCAATTCGGTCACTTATAGAGTCAGGTTTTGATGCTGATAAGAGACCAGATGTGCGACTTTATTATGGGGCTAGGAATCTTCAGAGAATGGCTTATCAGGTCTGAAAGATGGTATTAATCTTGATTGTTTTAGATGATAAAAGGAGTTAAAATAATTGTCTTGGTTTGGATATAGTATTTCTAGCCATTAAAATTTAGAGTGATTTGATCTAAAATGCATGAAGTTTGTATATTTTCTTGTTTTACAGGATAGGTTCAAGCATTGGGAATCTTCTGGAATTAAAATTATTCCTGTATTATCTCGACCGGATGATAGTTGGAAAGGTGAACGGGGTTATGTGCAGGTAACAGGTTTCGATTTTCTTAAGGCACTACAACGTTATTCCAGTATTACCGTTTCCACCATACCTATTTGGTTTGGGAGGAAATTGTTTCCTTTTCTGATAGTGTTTTGATGCATATTGCAGGCTGCTTTTGCAAGAGCCAAGCAGATATCAGACCCTTTTGAAACGGGTGCAGTGCTTTGCGGGCACAAACAAATGACAGAGGTCAGTCAACTTGGCCTATAAACTTTCCATCCGTAGTTCGATAGATTATTGTTTTGCCCTTGCTTTGTAGTTCTTTGCTTGTTGTGTTTTAGGTTCTCATCTTCTTGTTCTTGGAAAATCAAGGGAACAATTAACATTCTTGTGATTTTTGTGAAATAAATGATGGTAGTTAAGCAAAGCATGACTGATCAGATTGATTTGTGAAGTCTTTTCCATGGCCAATCAGTGCATGCTAGAAAGAGGATTTAGGTCGGGCTATATATTACAATTTCTGCTTGACTTCAGGCTGGATGCATTTGGATGATTTTGATAGTTTATAGGTTAGGTTGGTTGTCTGGTGTTTGTTGCGTTGGGTAGTTAAGGGCTGGTTCTATATTGCGGTACACCGTCATTGTTGCATGGGATTGGGTTCTATGTGTAACACTGGGTGATGTGATGTGCCATGTTGGCGTGTTGGAAATAATGGTTACATCGATATCTGATGTGAGTAGCACTTTGTTACGGATGTAGAGATCCAGAAGTTGCCGCCCTTGATGTCATCTGGTGGTCAAGGAGATGGTTTGTTTCCAGGGGAACTGTTTTTTAATTCTAGTTATCCACAGTGTTTTGTAATGCTGTATGTTAGTTATTGCAAAACTGTACCTCAGATCCAATAACAAAAATGCCCCTGACAAGAAGGTGATATCATGGTGAGTGGTCACTATTTGGAACAAGCATTCTGAAATTTGGCAGTGAGTCTCTGTTTATTATTTGTGCATGCCATAACTTTGGATAGGGATCTAAGCAATGTGGCCAATAAGCTAAGTCCAATTTTGAAGATCAGTAAGGATGGTAGTGTAGCATGGTACTGTAGCAGGGGTCGATCTTAAAAAAGTGTGCAAGAACTGTGTTTAGGGCTGACATCATCCTTTGGGTTAGATGGCATCATCATGCCCTAAAACCTGATCTTTTTCTTCCAGCAGTATCTGTGCCAATGGAGGTGAGTTTTTTTTTATTTTTTTCTTTATTATATATATATATATATATCATTTTGGATGCCGATCAAGTATTTATTCGAAAATCTAGTTGTTGGAATTATTAGTGTTTGTATGCCCCAATCAAAGTGTCTGTAAAACCTTTTATTTGAAGAGATCAAAAGGTGCAATTTGATCTCAATTGTTGATTAAGATCTGAGGATGTAACCAGATCTTAACTATAGTAGAGAATGGCTCTACTGGCATCAAATATGGAGTCATCTAGATCCCAATCACTACAGTCAGATTTGATGGTACCAACTTTTAAGAATGGGTCAGTTCGATTAGACTATTTTTGGGTGGAAAGAAAAAACTGGAATACATTGACAGCCATGTAGAATAGTTTTTTATTTTTTCTATCTGACAACATTGTCAGACTCGCAACTCTAATTGCGATGTTGGGATATGATACCTACATTGGACCCTCACATAGCCTGTCCAACCATTCTTCACCCAGTTATAATTCTGATGGCTTTCCTTTAGATTATGACACCGGATTAAATAATGGAATCACTGTTCAAGATGAGGACAAATCACTGGTCAAGATGAGGACAGATCACTGCTCAAGATAAGGACGAATCTACCTTTCACTGTTGATGTTGGCCACCTGTCCACTGTTCATCGACTTTTTGCTGTTCATGTCGGCCACCTGTCCACTGTTCATCGACTTTTTGCTGTTCATGTCGGCCACCTGTCCACTGTTTATCGACTTTTTACTGTTCATAATGGGCACCTGTACAGGCCAGCTTGTTAAATTATTATGGTTTGAAGTTCGGATTTCAAATCCGGTGCCTATAAAAGGCCCCTTAGGTTGTTTGTGAAGGCATAGTGCTGCTTAGAGCCTCTCAGCCTAGTTTCCTGTTTTGGTGTGCTTAAATCTTCCTGCTTATGCTTGTAAGTTTTGCTGCTGCTCTTAATAGTTTATTACTTTGGTGTGCTGTGTGCTTTGATCTTACTCTGTTATTCTGTTCTTTGTATTTCTTTGTATGCACATCTTAAACGCAATCTTGTAAATTTGGGTTCCATGAAACTCTTTGATTGACGAACGAAGGTTTTTAGATCTTGAATTTGATTTGGTTAGAATGGTTCTGTACCGTTTGAAGGTTAGGAAACATCATAATTTTTATGTTCTTCAGTTGGTGAGCTAGGCTTTTGAAAACATGCTAAGACCATCTAGGGGAGGCTTGAACTAAGACAAGCTTACCCCGTGTTCTTATTGTAGCATGCCAATAAGATGTTCTATCATTTTTTTTAGATTAAATAAATCAGCTTGTTCAACTATCAAAAGAGAATAAAATAATATAACTAAGGGATTGTATACCATGATACCATTTACCATTGGTATAGGGAGGTCACAATTGTACTAATTATATAGTGAAAATGTTTTGAATAAGCAGTTGACATTCTGAAAAAAAGAAAATTGGATAATTGATTTTGTATCTCATGAGGGAACGCTGTGCTTTGTGATGCTATTTGTAGCTGTTCATGAATTGTATCCCCGAATGATATGTTTTGATAAGTTACTTGCACCTTGTAAATCATGATTGCTATTATCTTCCATGGGAAGTCACAAGTGCTATTTAACTGTAAACTGAAATGCTATATGTGCATGTGTGCATAAATAAAGGAAATTATGGCATGCCTCTTAGGAGCATTTCTACATGACTGTTGAATTGATCATACAACTGTAAATTAAGTCAAAAAACTTTGTTAAATGACCTTCAAAACTACTCTAAGCCTTCTCAACCATCATAGTAATGTTCATCCAAACCAAGAACCTGCATTCCCTGAAAAATGATTTCGTAGCGAAGGAAGCCGACAAAGAGAATCATTGTCGAATAATCAATGCACTACAAACTCTCTCTGTGGGTCCCTGGGACATGCAATGTACAGTTCTTTATTATTGGCTAATGATATAACTATCTGTCCACTACTCAGTGTAGAAAAATCAAGTTTGAGATGCCATTGACATTGACTATATCGACGTGGTTTTGCAGGATGTTATATCCCTTCTGGTAAGAGGAGGGGTTTCTAGAGAGAAGATCTTGAAGAGCTTCTAATTTTGCACGGCAAACCGGTTTGTTGTAACAATATTGTTGGGAACTTTTTGCTTTTTCCTTTTTTTAACCTCATTGATTTATGTTATCCATCATTTTTGTGGGTGAGGGAACATAACGAGGAGATGCAGAGGACCTTGGCAAATGAGGTCTGGGAGAACGAAATAATTAAGAAATAAAAAATATTGTGTTTTCCCTTGCCGCAATTAGCACATATGGCCTTATGTCTTCCTTAAAATTTCCTGTTCTTTTGTAATTTCAGCCCCTACGTTTGCTTAGGACCCCAAGTTGGCTTTCCAACACAAAGTTGGGAACTAGGGCTGCCACCGGGCGGGGCCTGGAAAACCCTGAAAACGTTTTTAGGCCCGGCCCCGAAGCCCCAGCCTGAAAAATATGGTTGTCGAGCCTGGCTTAAAAGAATCTATTGGGTTGGGCCTGGGGCTGGGCCAGCCCAAATAAATGCCCGGGCAGTCCAATTAGAAGTCTTTTCTTTCTTTTTTAAAATCTCTCTTCACAGTTTGATGCTTGATCTTGATAGGTTGGATCGGTTATCCAGATCATTCTCAAATTGCCCATATCAATGATAATTTTTTTTTTTTTAAAAAAAGTAAATTAAAATCAAATTTAAATTGGAGGTTTAGAGTGTAGGGATTTAGAGGGGATCTAGGACAATATTAGATAAGCTTAAAAAAAAAAAAAAATAGAGCTTTTCGTGTGGAATCGGTCTTGGGATCCATACTATTCTAGAATTGGTTCGGTACTGATCTATTTCACATATTGATTGGCTATCCGGATTGAAAATTGTCAGGTTTTAAAACACTAGGCAAATCCCGCAAGGGTGTGGTTTCCATAAGGTTACAACCTTAAACAATCCATATTTAAGGCGTGTCTCAAAATTTTATTGTAACATGTAATTTTGGTGTAAAAAATTATTAGGATTATCTGAAAATCTATTTTCTTATCTAATTATAAAATTTTAAATTCTAAAAATGGTTAAAATCAAGTAGATCTATAAATATATGTAAATATTGAAAATGGATGGTCTAGATAATGTGTTGTAAGATGCACTATTTTTGGGATTCAAAAACTTTTTTTTTTTTTGTTTTTTACATTCATACATCTTGTGGTCGAGATGATCAATTAGAATGCCTTTTCGTATGGATTTTTGAGGTGCATATGTAATTTTAGATTTTAATGTTACAATCTTATATAAACTTTTTCCATCCTGCAACTAGATGATATTTTAACGTTGGAAAAGTCTTTATAACGCCTATAGGCGAAAATGAACAGTGATTTCGTCTATTTTCATCACCGTCTAAAGTTCATCGTATGGTCAGGATTGTTTTATAGTATTTTATTTTTTCATTTTTTTTCTACAAATCGGAATGATCCGAAATTTGGAGCGTATGTACATCTTAGTGAGATACACTTAATAAAAATATATAAAAAACATTTGCGAATTTTTTTTGACCAAAATTCCCTTGAAACATTTCGGGGATATTTTGATCAATTTGTTTCATGTAATTTTTTGATATTTTTTGTAGGTTCGTTTATTTTTTATGAACACACGTTCCAATTTTCAAGTCATTCTGATTAGTAGAAAACAAAATGAAAAATGAAGCACTATCGGACAATCGTGACCGTGCGATAAACTTTGGACGGTGATGAGGGTAGGTGAAATCACTGTTTATTTTCGCCTATAGATGTTTTGTAGTATCTTCCTTTAACGTAATATTGTTTCGACGGTTCTTGTGGCTAATGGAGCTTTTCCTTTTCTGGATTTCATGTCCATCATGGTCGTCAAGAACTGCATGCTATCATACTCAATTCCAAGGTTTAAAAAATTGTGGCCAATCAAAATCGGGATTGGGAATTGGTCGGGTATATTCAGATCCTATAAAATATCGGGAATTGGTTGGTTATCTCATGAACCAACCGGTACTGTCAAAGAATTGATACGAATCAATTCCACATTTTTTTTTATTTTTTTAATCATTGATTTGACTTGCTCGGTCTTGTTCTACAGGCCAGAACCGGACCCACCAAATGGTTTAAATTTTTTAAATTTTCAGTTCAACAGACCAAATCGCCAATCTACCAAGCCAGATAAAAAAAATCTAGGGGGGGTGATCCAGAATGCCGAACCTTGTTCGATTCATTAAAATGTTATTTTTAGAGTCAGAAATGGGTACTTGCACCGTTATCATGGGTGATAATTAAAAAGGAACTTTATCCTAACCAATATACCTAATACGACTCTTATAATCACGGATATCAATTCACTGTTACCACTGGTGATGATTGTTACAACAAAAATGGGCATCAAGCCTTTACATCAACTATTTTTCAAGGTTCAAAAAATCGTTGTGCCAATTCGGACGGGTATTGTTGGAGCCGTCATGGATCTGCGAATAAAACAGGATTCGGTCGTGTTACGGTAGAGAATCACGTGTCAGGATGTCATGGATATGATCTGATGTCATGGAACTGGTTCTGATGTCATTGAATTTGTTTGAAACATCATATTTTTTAAAAATTTTTTGAAACAAGTTTTTTATTTATTTTGAGATGTCTAATTTTTTTTTAATAAACGGGCCTCACAAGCAATAATTGGTCCTAGCTGCATGCTAAGCATACGTCTCACTCAAGCATGAGCAATAAAGCTATGGGCCTTAAGCCCTTTAGAGAGCTTCATGTTCATTAAAATGATCGATGTGAGATATCAAGCAGTACTTGTTGAATCCACCAGTACTCTCTATACCAGTGTTAGGAAGGCCTCTCATCCTCTACGTGACCGCCCTTGATGAGTCACTCGGGGAACTCCTGACGTAGAATAATGATGGAGGAAAAGAGACAATGCCCTACTATCTCCCATCGAAAAGGTGAGCCTATCCTTGATATGTGCGGTACAGAAGCTCTACTATTACTTGCTCGCTAACGAGGTCAAGTTAATATCTAAGGCAGACCCGGTCAAGTTCCTCATGACTCGGCCATGCCTGTTAGGATGTTACACTAATTAAAATTGTTACCATATGGTACGTTAATTAGAATTGTTACCATATGACACGTTAATTAATTAAAGGGGAAATATCCCCGTATCTCCTATTTTTGGTTTTCATATCTGAAGAGACCCAAGGATTTAAAATATGTATCCTAACCCCCTTACTAACTTTATCCATTTTTAATAATTTTTTTAGCCTTAACAAATATAAAAAAGACATGTTCATTCTAAACCCTTCATCTCTTTACGTGATATATTCCCTCCAAATTTCTCTCTTTCTCTCTCTTCCTTTGAGATTCTCCCAAACCCCTTCTCTCTTTTTGTATTTTCCCCCGCTTTCTCTCTCGAGGTCTCTCGCTCTCTCTCTCGATCCCATGTGTCCCGAAAGCCCTCTCTCATTTTGGGTTCCAAAAACAAGCACAATCTACATACAGTTAATCATCCATGCGAATAATATCCAACCAATCAATAGAAAAAATCCACAGAAATCAAGCAAATATATAAAGAAAAATAAACCATGGAGAGAGAGAGTGAGAAAATAGAGAGAGAATGAGAGACGGTTTGGGAAAAGTCATAGAGTGAGATTTAAGGGAAAATCATGTGAAGAGAGAGAAATAATGGTGTTTAGAAAAGATATGTCTTTATTATATTTATTTGGGGCAAAAAATTTGATTTAAAAGGATACAGTTAGCTTAGGGGTTAGAAGATACAAGGCTTAGAATTTCTATGACCCAATATATGTCTTGAAACCATTGGGTCTAGTGAGATATAAAACTTAAAAATGGGGGGTATGGAGATATTTTCCCTTAATTAAATGACTAATATGGAAACCATATGATAGGGTTTTTTACCATATTAAATTTTTTTGTAGGTGTTGTGCGTGCGGCAGAGAGGCTCTTTTTTTTTTAAAATTTTTTTTTTGATATCTTTGTTTTTCATTTTTTAGGTAAAATATATATATATTTTAAATTTCTTTTAATGTCATAACATTAAAATTTATTTATTTTTGTTTTTAATCATATCATATAGAAACATTTTCTAATAATGTTTTAATTATATTTATTATAATTTTATAATTAGTAATTATATATTGATAATCAAAACTTATGTTTTAGTAATTAATTAATTTTCATTATAAATGAGGTAATGTATTTTTTATTTTATTTTAGTAGTTGTACATAAGGCTTTTTAGATTAGATGATATTATAAGATATTTAAGATTATTTGTATAATAAAATAATTATAAAATATAAACCAAAAATTTCAATTTCAATTTCAGTATATAATATTATAGTTAGGTAGGTTGTGATAATTTTGGATAAGTAAAACACATTAATAAGTATTTGATATTTTAATGCGATACTAATTTCACTTTATATGAGAAATTATTGCTTTTGATCTTATAATATGGAAGTGTTTTTTAATATTTTAAATTATTTTAATGTAATATTATAATAATATATTATAATTAAGAATTATACAGACATCCAAACAGGAAAACAATATCTCACTATATTTATACAAAGTAATGAAAGTACCTAATGCACTACTCTTAATTTCTTTTAAAAACTAAAAGAAAACTATTTTTAGATATACCTAATGCAATATTATAGTGATTTTTTGAAAAAACACTTGAAACCAAATTTGCTGATTCGGCCAATTTTTCGATTCGACGTGCCGATCCACCGATCCAATACAGTTTTTGGGGTCGACGGTCCAGGTCGTGGTTCCATTTTTTTTTGCATCGGGCCTTGGCTGTTACAAAGTTTGTAACGGATTTTTGAACCTTGACCAATGTTTAACCTCTAGCTTAGTCATCACGAACATATACTAGTATTCTACTTTATAAGATAAATATTATACAGTTTCGCCATAATTTCAACACAGGGAACCAGAATGATCTTTGTGTGCCTCCTTGAAGTGCCCAATGCTCTCCCTTTCTATTTCTTTTTTTAATGTTAAATGCCCAATTTGTATAATGGAAAAGTTTTAAAAAATGTTTTAGAATATGAAACACATCAAAAGTGCAATTTTACTCGAGATCCATATTTTAAACCACACCACTAATTTAAATACTATGCATTTTCCACCCACAAACTAAGCAGTAGTATTTTATTATTAAAATACCACCAATTTAAAATTTTTGAAGTTTGAGATATTTACTGTTTCTAAAAATTTAAAATTTGAGATAGTTTCACTCTAAAA